AAGGGCAGCCTCAGCAAATTAGCAAGACCCTGTCTCAAAATAAAAGAGGGCGGAGGATGTGGCCCAGTGGTAAAGTGCCCCCTGGGTTTAATCCCCCACAGATCCTACAAAGCAATCAGGCAGAGTTTAGACACCAGGTAAGTTCGGATAGGATGCAGGATAACCAAAATACAGGCTGATCAGCTGATTTATTAGAGTTAGGATGCATTTGACTGCAAGTGAGAGAATATGTGGCAATAGAGAGTCAACCAACCACAGGGTCATTTATTGATGGTGAGTTTGGAGGTAGGTGGTCCCAGCTCAACAATGTCCAGGGCCCAGACCCTTTCCACTTTTCTGCTCTGCCACCCTTAGTTAGATGCTTCCTTATGGCTCCAATGTGGCTGCTGCAGCTCCAAGTATCACGTCCTTTCATAAAAGCTTCCAAGTCAGGAAGGAAGAGAGTAGCTCCTTTCAGACCTCTCTCTTTTATGAGATGGAGAAAAAAACTTTCCCAGAGTCTATCATCCCACTCCAGGAGACTTCTTGACATTTTGAGGGCTAGAATTGGGTCCCATGTACATCCTGAGACCAGTCACCAGGAAAGAGGATCAAGATGGTCACGGTAAGTGCCCATCCAGCTTTGATCCCTGAGGCTGGAGCATGTGTCTTATTTGGTTGTCTCTGTACCCTTCTAGGCAGTAAAATCAATCTCTTCCCCAAATCCCTCTCCTCTCCACCTTGCTGTCACGCAGGTGAACTCTGCGTCTCCCCTCCTCAGCCAACTTGACGAGCTTCCGCTCCCCCTGTCCCATTCTTTCTCCAGATGTGACCCCAGCATCCCTTTCCCAGAGCTCAGGCCACCATCTTTAATGGTTTTTTACCCCCATGTGGAGATGATCTTTCAGAACTTCCTCAAAGGGAAGTCAGCAGGCTTCTCACAGATTTTAAGAAGTTTTAGAGACCACAACTACCTGAATTTCTTGGGACTTTTTTTTTTTTAACCCAGAGGGGTCATGTTGCCAGAGAGGTCAAAAGTTGGCCACTTTCTCACTATTTCTTTCTCTTTGTTTCCCCACCCGGACTCTTATCTCCCACTTCCAATTCTCCTCTCCCAGAATCTGTGGCCTGACTTTCGGCCACCTTCCTACTGTCACTGATGCCCTGTTTCCTCTTTTTGATGATTCTTATAACAGCTGCTGCAGACTCCTGGGCCCCTCCCTGCCACCTCTGCTGGCCCTGACCTTGTCTTGTCCTTGCCTCCTTCCTGGGGTCCAGCTGAAACAGAGCCACCTCTTCTGTTCTGCGTCGCAGTGTCCCCTGTCCCGCCTGGCACTTACGCAGACCCGGAGGCCCTTTGCAGAATCCTCCCCAGGCTCAGGTCACCGTGAGCCAGGGGACAAGGCAGCGCCCACCCACCCCCTCGTTCCTGCTCTGCCCTCTTCCGATGCAGGGAGGTTGAACAGTCAGAGGCTGTCGGACAGGTAACCTGCGAGGATCGGGCCATTCACAGTCTTCAGTCGGGATGGGTTGAGCCATCTCTGCCGGTTTTTAACAACTTTGTGGGTAGCCTTCCTGGGTACCTGGTCACATTGGTGATTTCTAATTCCCCGTCACCTCCCCACTGCTGTCAAAGCTGGGAGGCAGAGGCTTTCACAATAGCCTCAGATAAAATAAAATATTTGGGAATCGATCTAACGGTGAAAGACCTCTACAGTGGAAAACTACAGAACACTAAAGAAAGAACTTGAAGAAGACCTTAGAAGACGGAAAGATCTCCCATGTTCTTGGATAGACAGAATTAATACGATGAAAATGGCCATATACCAAAAGTGCCATACAGATTTAATGTAATTCCTATTAAAATTCCAATGTTGTTCATAGAAATAGAAAAGGCAGGTATCACTACAATGATGCAGCCACATTCATGTATAAGCAGCTCAATTCACAATAGCTAAACTGTGGAACCAACCTGAGTGCCCTTCAACAGATGAATGGATAAAGAAAATGTGGTACATATATACAATGGAATATTACTCAACCACAAAGAAGAACGAAATTATGGCATTTGCCAGTGAATGGCTGGAACTGGACACTATTATGCTAAGTGAAATAAGCCAGTTGCAAAAAAACAAAGGCTGAATGTTCTCTCTGATAAGTGGATACTAACACACAGTGGGGCAGGCGATTAGAAGTTCATTGGATTAGACAAAGGGGAATGAGGGGAAGGGACAGGGGATGGGAACAGGAAGGACAGTGGAATGATCAGACATAACTTTCCTATGTTCTGATATGAATACACGGCCAGTGTAACTCCACTTCATATACAACCACAAAAGTGGGAAGTTAGATGCCATGTATATATAGTATGTCAAAATATATTCTACTGTCATGTATAATTAAAAAGAACAAATAAATCATTTTTATAAATAAATAAAAGCTAGGATGGCCAGGCACAGTGGGGCACACCTGTAATCCCAGCAGCTTTGGAGGCTAAGGTAGGAGGATTGTAAATTCAAAGTCAGCCTCAGCAATTTAGGGAGGCTGTAAGCAACTTAACAAGATCCTGTCTCAAAACTGAAAAAAAAAAAAAAAAAAAAGATGGGACTTGAGCTGGGCTCCGTGGCACACACCTGTAATCCCAGCAGCTTGGGAAGCTGAGGCAGGAGGATCGTGAGTTCAAAGCCAGCCTCAGCAACATCAAGGTGCTAAGCAACTCAGTGAGACCCTGTCTCTAAATAAAACACAAAATAGGGCTGGGGATGTGGCTCAGTGGTTGAGTGCCTCTAGTACCCGCCCCCCCCCAAAAAAAAAAAAAGATTTCCATAGGGACTGGGGATGTAGCACAGTGGTAGAGCACTTGCTTAGCATGCAAGGGGCCTTGGGTTCAATCCCCAACGCTGCAAGAAAAAAAAAAAAAGAAAAGAAAAAAGAAAAAAGTTCCAGGTGAGTCAGACCTCTGCGGCCACCCCTACGCCATCCCACTGAAACCCATGCAGAACAGACTCAATAAAAACTGGGATGGAGATGGGTCATGTCTTGTCTTCCTTTTGTCCTCTGGATTGCGCTGTCTGAGGTTTTGTCGAAGGAGGATATTTCCCCCCGGGGCAGCTCTTGTAAACCTTTAAAGACGTGCATAGTTAATTAACAAAATTATATATAAATAGAAACCTAAGTCTCTGATTCAGAGAAGCAGGCTGTCAACCTGCTGGAGCTTGAGATAATTGCAAACCCATGATTCTATCTTTATCCTTATTTTGTATTTCACAAAGAAATATGGCTCTGAGTCAGCTTCTCAGTCTGACTCCCGGTGGCCTCTTTACCCACATCCTGGCTTTGCTTTGAGCTCAGCAAACACTGCTCCGTTTACATCTGGCTCCACCTTTATCTCCAATTCTGCAGTAACCCTGGCTTTCCTTTGGGGAGGTGGCCCCACTTCTCCGGGGGTGTGAGCTCCCCTGCAGTCTCACTTGGTTGGCTGTGAGATGGGCTTCCTCAGCCTCCTGGTGGAGACTGTTTCTCTAGCCCCTGCCTTCTCAGCAGCATCCTCCAAAAGGAGGAAGAGGAAGCAGTCTTGGAAGATCTGTGTCCTTCCAAAGGGCCACAACACATAAACTGATATGCAGTGTGTTTGCTGCAAAACCCAAGCAGGAGAAAGAAATATAACCAAGCCAGCTTCCTCGCAGCTAGAATGTGGGTCCTCTCTGTCTAGGGAGATCCAATCTGGATGACTCCGAGTGAGGGAGATGTAGAAGGGCTTAGGCAGCCAGGACAAGGTGGCCAGTGAGGAGGCTGGGGACAGGGCCAGAACAAAGGGGCATGGAGAGGGTCTTCTGATGAGGTCAGCTTCCTGCTTGATGGAAGTGCTGGGGGCACAAGCAGGGGACCCAAATCAGATGGACACTTCTGTACGCCTTCCCTTAAGTGGGGAATCCAATAGAAAAACTAAAACAGATGCATGGACAGAGGGGCACCAATCAAAAATAGTGAGGAGCCTGTGGCCAGGGGAGGAGATAGGAAAGGAGGAAATTCCAAAGGCCACCCAAGTCAAAGCTGCCCCCCTGGACTCCTGGCTCCAGGGCCCCTCCTCTTGGGGAAGTCTGTGACTGTTGCTTTGGCCGTTAGCCCGATGCCGGCTTGTGACCTCTGTGTCTGGCTTTTCAGTTCTTCGCTGAGCAGAGACAAGGAACCCAGCGCCCCTGGATGGTAACATTAGCATCTCCCCAGAACCTCCGCCCTTGCTGCGTCCCCTCCCCCACGGGCAATTCACTGTTTGCCCTACCAGCGGGAAAGCTTTGCTGCTGTCACCCATGGACACTCCACTGTCATCTCCCTCCCCCACTCACATGGTCCAGAATCCACCCTCCGTCCCCAGAGTGGCCCCCTTTCCCTTAACCACCCCCTCACACAACCCAGACGATCGCCCCAAACTCCGATGACCGAACCTCCCGGCACCCGAGTTCTTCACGGGCACAGACGCAGTTGGGGAGATGCCAGGTGAGGATGGAGGGCAAGCAAAGCCAGTGACCCTGCCTCTAACTCCTCACCAGAAGCCCAGGGGAAGGAGTTCTTCGCTGTTCTTCGCGGCTTTCTTCAGAATGTGAGGTTTTCAACTTGTTCCCAGCTTTGGGTCCGAATTATCCATTCAGGGGTCACAGGACTCATGACACCTTTGATTTCTTTCAGAGCCAGGTGGACCCAGGTTTGCATCACCTTGTTAGCAGCCGCTGTGGCAGAATGCCCTGGGCCACACGGGTGACAGCGTACACCTTCCTCTCCCTATCCAAACCCAGCCCCCGCCCACACCCAGTCCTCATTCTCCTGGGAGGAAAGCGAACATTTTTTTCTTAATATTTATTTTTTATGTGTAGATGGACACAACACAATGCCTTTATTTTTATGTGGTGCTGAGGATCGAACCCGGGTCCCACCCGTGCTAGGCGAGTGCTCTACCACTGAGCCACAATCCCAGCCCCGAAAAAGCGAACATTTTTTAACAATGGTATTGAAATCCCTGAAGTTCTGAGCTCAACCATCTACCCCTAGTAGGTGATCAATAAATGCTTTGGCAATAAGACTGAGTACAAACAGGCGCCAACGTTTCTCTGGTTGCCCTGCGGGGAAGGGAGGCCTGACCAGCTGTTTCTCATGTGTCACCCCTCAGTGCAGAGCGAAAACTTGCACGATGACCACATCTCAGCAAAAACAGCTTTTAAGAAGGTCCATCTATGTTTGTCACCATCTGAAGTCAACTGTGCTAATGACCTTAATTAATTAATAATTATTATTATTTTTTGCACGTATTTCTTTCCTGGGAGGAGAATGGACCTGCACAGAGAACAGACCTGCTTTGCCTCTGATTTTGTCTCTCCTTGGGGCCTGTTTACTTTTTTCCTACTTTTTATACCGAGTTCCCCAACTTTGGAAGTTGGCCTGAGCCAGGTCACTGCAGACTGACCCACAGCTGAAGGAAGGATGCAGAGTGGGCTGGGGGTTTAGGTTTTGGAGTCCAATTTCCAGTCCTCCTCCAGTCACGCACTAGGCTAGCTCTGCCATCTCAGGGGAATACTTGGCCTCTCTGGGCTGGTTCCCTGCTCTGCCAAATGGTGATAATGTCGTCCCCACCGTGTGGCTATTGAGGAGGTAATGGATCCAGCCAGCTCCTAAGATGGTTCACTATTATTTTTCTTTTCCCTGACCCAGAGCCTCGGCCAGAGGCATCCTGTCGTCTAGTTCTTTCCCTTTGGAGTCTGGGTGTTGATGCTTCCATTCACCACGTGAGAAAAAAGGAGAATAAAGAGAGACCATTCTCTTTTGCTCGCTACCAATTTATTTGGGTGACTTTTCTCTGTCATGGTTCACAAACCGTCCCTGAAGATCTGAATTCTTTGAGCACTGGGAACTTTCCGGTACAGCCCACCGAGGGCAGGTTGCTCCCCACCCCTGGGGCCTGTCTGCTCCCTTCCCGACCTGAAGAGTGAACTCCTCCCTCTCCCCTCTCCTGGCGCCAGGCTGCTCCCTCTGACCCTGGGCACCACTCTTTCCTCCTTTTCCCTCAGAAAGACACAGGAATTGGCCTGTTGCTGTCAGGGCTGGGGGCGGGGGGGGGGGCGACGCTGGGGGAGGTCATTTTCTTCCAGAGAAGTCTCGGATCCTGACAACTTCCCAGAGTCAAATCCAGAGCAGATGGGAGAACCGGAAGAGGCAAAAATCAGGAGCTGGCTTCTCTGAGCACATCCCTAAGGGGGCAGGGTGTCTGCTCTGCCCCTGAGCCATATCCAGTCGTCCTGTCACGGCATGGCATGGTCCTGCCCTGGGGACATGGATCTGCTGCACCTCCCTGCCCCAGAGGACCACACTCTCAGCCCAGACCTTGGGGCTACCTGTTCCCTAGCCTTCCTGGAGTCTGTCCCTGCTCTCTAGGTCGGACAGTCCTGCACCTGCCCCTCTCCTCCACCCTTGACCTTCAACTCCACGCTAACCTCCAGCCTCCAAGGGCTGCAGCCGCCCATCAGCCTCCTCAGCAGCTCCTGGAAATCGGCTTGGAACCTAGAGGATGAGAAATAGTAGACAAGGGGGTCCACGCAGGAATTCAGGGTGCTGAGGAGCAGCACGTAACTCCTCCAGGTGGGGCTCTGACCCTCGAGGTAGCCCACCAGGTGGGACATGTTGTAGGGCCCGAAGCACACGAGGAAGTTGAGCAGCGTGGCCACCACGAGCCCCACCACCCTCCTGCGCCTGCGCCGGCTGGTCCCCCTGCTGAGGATCCACACGAGGCGACTGTAGCAGAAACCGCTGATGAGCAGGGGCACCCCAAAAAGAATCACGGCCATCTCCAGCCGGACGGGCAGCAAAAAGGCCAGCTGGTCCTCCTGGAATTCCAGGTAGCAGGTCCCGTTGGATCCCTGGCTGTGGGATTGATCCCCAGAGAATTCAACGACGTAGACCACGCTGCAGTGAGAAGCCGCCAGGAGCCAGCAGATGCCACTGACCAGGGTAGCCTGGCCCAGCCTCGGCCGAGTCTTGTACCATATCGGGTAGGCCACGCTCAGGAAGCGCTCAGTGCTCACGGCTGCCAGGAAGAGGGATGTGAGATAGATGCTGGTGAAGAAGAGGAACCCGGACAGGGGGCAGAGGATGAAGGGCAGCGGCCAGCGCATGCCACTGGCCGCCTCCACCATGCGGAACGGCAGGAAGAGCAGCAGGAGCAGGTCCGAGAGGGTCATGTTGAGCAGGAGAATGTCCACCGCCACCGGGCGGCGCCGCAGCTTGCCCACGAAGATCACCAGGGCCACCAGGTTGAGCGGGAGCCCCACAAGGAAGGAGAAGAGGTACACAGAGAAGTACAGCCAGTGGTTTCCCGGGAAGAAGAACCTGTCTGGGCTTGTCTCCATGGTCACAGCCACTGGTAAGAGGGGGAGAGGTGAGTGCAGGAGTCCAGGGAGGGGTCTTTCTGTCCCTCACCCATCAGCCAGGAACTCTGTCACCAATGCCAGCCCCACCCCCACCGTAGCACAGCCCCACATACTTTTCCAGGCAGGATCAGCCAGCCTGCCTCCGGGGACCTGCCCTTTCTTCTGTCACTCCCCCAGCACAGAAAGCACCCAGGTGCTCCTCCAGCACCGTGCTCACCTGCTTCTTTGAAGATGCAAGCCCCCCGCTGCAAGTCACCTTGCTCTCCTCTCCAGAACAAGTGCTCTGAGCTCTTTATCTGGCAGAAATGCTAAAGACCTAGCAGTGCCCGTGACGTCACTCACTGTGGAACACGAGCACAAAAGATGCCTTGAGCTCTGTTCCCAGGGCTGTGTCCCTATGCAAAAAAGAAGAGCAAATTCCACCACGGGCCTCCTCCTGAGCAGCCTCAGCCGGGATGTCCCGTCCAGGCCCATGCTCCGATGACGCCGTGGTCCTCTCTCCTCTTTTCCACTTGATTTTGGTCTGTTTTCTCTAAGAATGGCACTTCTCCAGTTTGCCTTGTAAGGGCAGGAAGTGTGATGTGATGATGGAGGGCTGGGCTCTGGAACTGGCTTTGTGACTCGCCAACTTTGTGATTTGGGGCAAGTGTCCCCCTTCTGTGTCCCCTTTCTCATCTCGAAAACAGGGATGGTTATAGAAACAGAGTCACAGATTAAAACATGAACACAGGCCAGGTGCCTCCAATGGAACCTGGAACTGTCCCTGCCACAGTCCCTGTCATGATGCAGGCTTGACGATGATGATGATGATGATGATGATGATGACGAAGACGATGGTCACAGAGGTGGCCAGGCTGCTACCGGCTTCATCCTGGTGGGCACGAGATCCATAGCAGGCCCTCTGTTCCTTAGGGTATCACTGCTTTATCTCACTGTGTGAAATCCTTCAGCCTCTCCACGGAAGTGACTTGCTCCAGGGCATAAACCTCATTAAGTATGACCACCAGGGTTCAAAGTCAAGTTCTCTCTGGCTTCAGAGATAATGCATTTATTCACTTAAATACTGAGGGAGCACAATGTGATGCCATTTCACACCCATTAGGGTGACTATCATCCAAAAGTCAGACAGTTCCAAGCACTGAGCAGCCCAGGGGAGGAAACCAGGGCTCTCATCTGTTGCTGGTGCAGCCACTTTGGAAAGCAATTTGGCAGTTTCTTAAAAAGTTACCCTAAGGCCCCACAGTCCCACTGCAGATATTTACTTAGGAGAAATGGAGCCCCCTGTGCACAAAATCTTGCTCCTGAATGTTCCTACAAAGAGTGGAAACATCACGGGCTGTCCGTCAACCTGTGAACGGATAAACAGACGGACACATCCGCACAATGGCATTCTATTTGGCGATGACAAGGAATGAACCACACACTGTGGCCAGGGTGAACCTCAAAACCACCATGCTGAGAGTGGCAAGCAGACATAAGAGACCACACCACACGTGATTCCATTTATAAGAAACGTCTAGAAGAGAGACTTTTTTAGAGACAGAAAGTGGATCAGCAGTTGCCTGGGGGCTGAGGGAGGAAAGGATTAATTGTAAATTAATTGTAATAAATTGTAAATTAATTGAGCTTGAGAGATCTTATGGGGTGGGGAGCAGGGTGATGACAGCACCCTGAAGTCAATTTACTAAAGATCATTGCCTTGGAGGCTTGGCAGGGGTGCCTTTTATATGCAAATGATATCTCAAGTTGTTAAAGATACAGCCCTGAACAAAGTTTTAGTTGTGGTGTCCTAACATCTGGTGAGGAGCCAAACGAAGAGGGAAGTTTGATGAAGACATCAATACCTGAGAGGTACAGAAGGGAGAGGGGAACAGGAAGGGAAGGAGGAGGTACTGGAATTTGAATCAGAACAAGATATATTCCATGTCGGGTGTGGTGGCACACGCCTGTAATCCCAGCAGCTCGGGAAGCTGAGGCAGGAGGATTACAAGTTCAAAGCCAGTCTCAGCAAAAGTGAGGCACTAAGCAACTCAGTGAGACCCTGTCTCTAAATAAAATACAAAGTAGGGCTGGGGATGTGGCTCAGTGGTTGAGTGCCCCTGAGTTCAATCCCTGGTACCATCCCCACAAAAAAAAAAAGATACATATTCCATGCATGTATAATTATGTCAAATACATCCTACTGCTGTGTATAACTAAAAAGAATCAATTTAAAAAGAAAGATGCAGAGAGACATCTCAGAGAACATGCCAGAAGAAAGGCTGATATATAACTCGACCTCCTGGGCTCAAGGTGAACAGAGGAAACTGGGGCAAGTCCTGCAGGGCCTCACAGGACCAGGCAGGAACTGCATTCTCCCCCAAGTGGGAAGAAGCACGGGTCGCTGGGAGCAGCGGCCCAGCACCTCGCTGATGCTCCAGAGCAGCGAGACTACAAGGCTGTCCCTGGCACTGTGAGGGTGGGCAGAGGGGCCTCCTGGGCTGGAGTTGGGGTTTTTACTAAAATTTGCTGATGTCCCCCCTGCACAGGGACCGAGTTTATTTCTGACTTTGGTAAAAAGTTATTTAACCTCTCTAGCCTGTTTCCATATTTATAAGATAGGGTTCTAGAACATTCTTTGGAGAGCTATTATGGGCATTTATTCTTTCATTCAGCAAACATTTATGGAGTGCCTGTGATGTGCCCATCGCTCTTCTAGACACCTGTAGACACTGAAGCGTGCCAAGAGACCATTGGGATAGCCCAGTTTGTACATGGCAGCCACATAGCCCCATAGGGGCTCTATGAACATCGGTGGCATTATTGAACAAATTTGATTCCCATCCCTCCCCTCATTAGAGCAGATGCCCAGGTCTTCTACAGCTACTTTTCTCTGTCTTCCCCCTTGAGGGCCACTCTTTACCCTTCCCAAAATGGGTCACCAATACAGGTATTATCCTGACACTCCAGGTTTTCCCCTGACCCTCAGGGGAGCCTGCTTGGAAAGATCACATCGGACTCATCCCTCTTCTTTGCTATAAGCCTTGGGCAAGTTTCCTTGGGCCAGATGTGATACACCTGGCCCCAACAGAGGCTACCCCATGCAGGCCTTCTGAGCCAAGCGGATAAGGCACCCTTTTGGGGGAGTGCCACCCTGCACCAAGGGGCGCTACTGGAGGAGCAGGTGGTGTCTTTGTTGAAATTAAAATGAGAGGCTCCTTCCCTTGATTGGAAGCAAGGCAGGCACACGGCTTAGTGAGCCCAGCACGGGCTAGTAGTCAGTGTGTGTCCCCTCTGCCTGTCGCCCCTGTGCAATGTCACCTGGCTAAATCCAAGGGTTGTGTGATCTGGACACCGTGGCATATACCTTGGTCCCAGCTTCTTGGGAGGCTGAGACAGGAGGATCGGTTGAGCACCAGAGTTCAAGGACAGAGTTCAAGGCCAGCCTGGGCAACAGAGCAGACCCTGCCTCTTAAAAAATAAAGGGAGTGGGAGGGTCGTGTGAGGATAAAATGAGAAAATGCTCATTATAAAGCACTGGGCATGGTGGCTGACTTGTGCCCCTTCTCACCAAGCATCTTTTCTGGGCCAGCTTCCCATTCACAGTGCGAATGCTGCCCCCTTGTGAGTTCCAAGTGGTATGGCAGCCTCATTATCTTGGCTAGTGCCTCCATCTCTTCTTTAGAAATTAAAATGTTCTTTCCTCACAAATGGCTGCAGGGTAGCATTGCACGGTGGTGTTCCTCCGGATTAGAAGCCAGACGTCATCCTCCTAGTGGGCAGGAAGGACGCGAGGAGTGAGGCAGAGGCAGGAGGCAAGCTGACTGTGGAGGTACCAGCCCCTGGCCTCCACTCCTCTCTCTGGACGGGGTGTTGTCCTCTCCAGGTTTAGCTCTTCCCACACGTGGCGCTGGGGATGGCTCCTGGCAAGGCTGCCCAGCAGTTCTGATGGGGCAGCCCTGACATGGGGCCTGGAGAAGCCCCTTTCTCCCAGCAGAAGCTGCTATTTCTGGAATGTTCCTCCTTGCATTCTTGCCATACACACCGTCCCACGGCCAGGACCTGCTCCCAGGTAGCCAGTCACCAGTGGATTGAGCACCACACTCCAGGCCCCTGTGATGAGCCCCAGTTTTCGCCACTGGGCCCCCATGTCGGGGCGCAGGAAGCCGGCCACGTTGGAGGCGTTGTAGGGCCCCAAGCAGAGTAGCAGCGTGAGCAGGGCCCCACCGGCCACCCAGGCTGCCCTGACCTTCCGCCTGTGGCTCAGGCCCGAGTGGGCCAGGGCCCGGAGGCAGCCCACATAAGAGAACGCGGTGATGATCAGGGGCACAAAGAAGAGCAGGAGGGAGAGACTGAGGCGGGCGGGGCCGGCAGACGCCGGGTCCCAGGCCTCCAGGCAGACGGGGGAGCCGTTGGCCACTCTGTTGATGCCCAGGGAGCTGGTGGTGTTGTCCAGCCAACCTCCCGGAGCCTCCAACCCCAAGACCAGCCCCAGATGACAGAGGACGAGGGCCCATATCACCACGCAGACGCCCCAGGAGTAGCGCGGCCGCCGGAGGGCTTGGTAGCCCAGGGGGAAGGCTGCGCCCAGGTAGCGGCCGGCGCTCAGAGCAGCCAGGAAGCCCCCGCCAGCGTAGAGCGGGGCGAAGTGGACCAGGGAAAAGGCAGGGCACAGCTGGACCGGCAGAGGCCAAGTCCCCGAGGCCAGGGCCTCCACGGCCTTCAGGGGCAGAGAGATGGCCAGCAGGAGGTCAGAGCAGCCCAGGTGGAGGGCGTAGACCAGGCTGGGAGTGAGGCGGTGCCGGGCGTGGGAAGCCGCGCTTCTGATGGCCAGGACATTGAGCGGGAAGCCCAGGGCAAAGGCGGCCACATACAGGGCGAAGGACAGCTGCGGAGGCAGGCTCATGAGGCAGCCGCTCCTGCACTCCGCTTGGTCCCACTTGGTCTTCAGATCGCGACCAGAGAGCTGGCTTCGGCGCTGCCTGGGGTGAGGCAGAGGAAACCGAGGCCGCTGAAGGAGGTGGCAGCCAGGCAGCCGTGGAGCCAGGATCAGCAGCAAGGACTCAGCTGTCTTTCCACCATGTCACCTCTTGCAAAGAAGAGGACAGCGGTGTGGTAACAGGAAAAAACAGCCAGGCATGCAGTCAAGGAGGATGGGCGGCCTCTGGCTCCCTTAGGCTCTGGGGAGGGAAGGGATTTAGAGAGGTCAGAGTGGCTTCCTTGGGGATGGGTCCCACTCCTGAGATCACTCCCTGCCAGTGGGGAGCCCGCAGGGCAGGTGCAGAGGTGAGGGAGGACCCTGGGCTTGGATATGAGCTACAGGGAGCAGAGGAGGTCCCCAGGGGAGAGCCCAGGGTAAGCCAGATCCCATCCATGTCATGGGGGAGGAACTTAGCAGATCTCAGGGGACACCCCAGGCAGGGGACCTGGGGGATCATTGGTGAGAAGAGGAGCCACAGAAAGAGGGACTCACCTCTTGGTACTGCCAGATGTCTCTGAGGCTCAGGAGTCCCCTCACTGGGTTGCCGGAGGATGCCCGGGATGGGCAGTGAGCTGGAAGAGAGGAGGGCGGGGTGGCAGGGCCATTAGCCTCAGGCACTAGCAGCTTGGGTGAGCAGCTAATGGGGCATCCCGGGCTGGAGCGAGGCTGGACTGCCAGAGGCGAGGGGCTAAGAAGGGAGCCAGGATAGGAAGGGGCTTTTTTCTGAGTGATGCATGTGTAGCCGAAATCGTGGGGGTCCACCAGAGGACAGCTTTATGCCTAGCCACTGATGGCTCAAACTGCCCCAGGGGCTACGTCTTCCCCAGTGCAGGAGGAACACTTGGGCCAGGCCCCTGCCTTATTGGCTCATTCCAAGTGACTTTAGTCACCAACCCATTGGTGTGCAGCAATTTATGTTGGGATGTCAAAAGCGTCATTCCAAGGGAGAGCTTACCCTGGCTGTGGGCATGCTCCCTCTCCTTCTCTCCCTAGCTTCATGACAGCAGCTGCTGACCTTTGCAGTGCTGGTAAAAGACAGGAGAAGAAAGAAGAGACAAGCAGAGTCCGTGTGGTGGGCACTGGAGTAACTGGGCTGTGGCCTCAGCTCAGCCTCTCTGGACAGCGAGGATGTCCAGGCCGATTCCTCCCCAGGTTGCTTGGGTAGGGACATTGGACGGTGCTCCCTGGGGACAGGAGTTAGCTCCAGCAGGTTGCTTAGCTTGCTTTTCTCAACCCTGGGGAAAATGCCTCCCCATGGAGGTCATCTTGACCTTCCAGAAAAATCTCCTAAGCAAGACTTAAAATGGCTCCAGTCTGGCTCTCTCTCAAATGTGGTCCACATCTGGTCAGTGGAAAAGAAGGCTCTCAGTCTCTCTGATTCTCTGACCATGCCTGCACCTCTTCATCTGTCTCTGTCTCTTTCTGCCTCAACTTCTCAGCTTCAGTTTTCTTAAGGGTGTGTGGTAGTCTCCAGGCCACCATGCCCCTTCCAAATCCCCCGTCCAAATAATGTGTCCTCTCACCAGGCTGCAGGAGTGAGCAGCATGGGGTTCTCAGCACATCAACAACTCCCTCCAGAAGAATTATCCAACTTCCTTTTTAGACCTCAGATTCTTTTTTTTTTTTTCCTTTTGAGCGGGTACCAGGAATTGAACTCAGGGGCACTTGACCACTGAGCTGCATCCCCAGCCCTATTTTTTATTTCACTTAGAGACAGGGTCTCACTGAGTTGCTGAGTGCCTGGCTGTTGCCGAGGCTGGCTTTGAACTTGCCGTCTCAGCCTTCCCAGCCGCTGGGATTACAGGCCTGCGGCTCTGTGCCTGGCTTAGACCTCACATCTTGCTTGCACCTCTCCAATCCTTCATCTGTGGCAAGGGGCCTCACTTTGAATGGAGAAGAACGTGCCACCGACTGCTTAGTATTTTATCTTTGGCAAATACTGAGAAATGGACAGAAAGGAGAAAAGAATCAAGAGTGCCATTTTACCTCCTGGGACAACTATTTAGGAGAAAAGCAGAGCTCTAGGGGAGACGTGGGGTCTTCCAGATCTCTGCTTAGCCCCCCATCACCTGGCTGCTGGGGCCACTGCCCTGCGCCACTCCTCAGCGGGCCTTCCTCCATCTCTCCCCCCAAACCCACCCCCTCTCCCCCTCCATATCCATCTTGCATTGTGTAAATCCGGAGCCTCTGTGATTCTGCCACATCACATTTGCTGGCCCCTCTGCTAGAAGGCTGGCCTCAGGAGGGCAAAGATTCTGGGCTGCTTTGTCCATTGTGTGGCACCCTGCAGGGGCTCCGGGCACTGGGAGGACGGTAAAACCCAACCCGGGCGGGGGTGGGGTGGGGGTGGGGTGCCTGTGTTCTGGAGTCCCTGGCCGCCTGCTCTTCACGCCTCAACAATGCCTGTTGACAGTCCCATCTCATGGTCAATGGGTCATGAAGTAGGTTTATGTCAGCAGCTGGGCTCAGGGACAGGAGGGAAAGGCTCCCGGTGGTTGCCAGGGAGCCTGAGCCAGGCTTGGTGAGGCCCAGGGCTGCCTTCAGCTCCCTCCAGGTGACTCCGCCCTGAAAAGCTTTGGGGTCCCTAGACTAGACGGAAAGTCCCCAAGGCTGGAAGTGTGTCTTTTTTGCACCCCAACAACCGCCTCTGTGCTGGTGTTCAGTGAATGTCTGCTGCAGGAATGGATGAATGGTCAAATGACACTGGACCTAATCGGGGGGCACAGAAACCCCAAAACGCTCCTTCTTTCATTTCAACAGTTCTTGAAGTCCCACTGTCCTCCAGAAAAGTTAACGATGCTCACAAGAAATCAAACTAGCAGCAAAGAGGGCTTAAGGCAGGGGAGGATCCATGCATTGAGTGAGTGGAGATGGGAGGGGGGACCCGAAAGGAAGGTGGGACGTACTATGTGCCAGGAACTGTATGTCCATCTCGTTGGTGGTTGGTTCGCCACCTGCTCCAGCCTTCTGAGCAGAATGGGTCTTAGTCCTGTGGTAAGCAGGTAAATGGGTGAAGAGAACTCAACCTGAGAAGTGACAAGGGGACTGAGGACAGTGACTGCGAAGTGTTGTCTTTTGACAAGTATGTCCCTGAACAGAGAACTGGTGGGGTGACAGTGAAGGACAGGAGAACTGTGCGGCTTCTCCTGGCAGCTGGCCTTTGGGAGGTTCCGCAACTGCGGGTTGTGAAAGAACTTGGTAGATCCCCTTCTTAGAATAGCTGTGAGTAACGAATCGGCTTCCCCCACTTTTTTTTCCTTTTGAATATTCTTCTAGAAATATAAACAAAAGCTGGGTGTGAGAGCACATGCCTGTAATCCCAGTGGCTTGGGAGGCTGAGGCAGGAGGATTGCAAGTTCAAAGCCAGCCTCAGCAACTTGGTGAGGCCCTAGGCAACTTAGGAAGACCCTGTCTCAAAATAAAAAAATAAAAAGGGCTGAGGATGTGGCTCAGTGGTAAAGTGTGCCTGGGTTCAATGAAGGACTTCTGGCCTCTCTGCTAGGCCTCCTATAAAGTGACTCAGGCGTATTTAAGGTTAGACTTCACTTCCTGCCATGAGCCACCTGCATGGTACGGAGTGCCATCCTCCTTTTACGGTTGCAGAAACTGAGCTGCAGGCAGGTTGGTGAACTCTGCCCAAGATCATTCAACTGGTGAAGCAGAAGAATCAGAGTCAAACTCAAGTTCGCCCAACTGAAAAGCCGGTGTGCTTCTCCCAGCCAGACAACTGGACCCTCCGATCGGCTGATTTGATCATGAGATAACTGTGACTCTTTTCCTTCCCCCTACACCCCACAATGCCATCCCCAGCTCCCCGTCCCCACTCTGACTCCACAGATGGGAAAGAGCTCACTGGCTCCTGGAAGTGGCCTCTGTGCCATTTTTATTATGCAACTCTTTGTACATTATCTTTGTTCTTCTCAGTGCATCTGCGCAGTCCACGAGACCCCGAGGGCAGGGGCTGTCACCGCAACGTCCTCCACGGAAGGCTTAGCTGGCAGTTTCTAGACAGTTTCTAGAGGAGAAGCCAGCTGGGGACAATGCCTCTGTCTACCTCATTTCTGTCCTTCCCTGGGATTTCCCCAGGAGCAGAAAGTGAGCATAGGATTAGTGGGTGGCAGTGGGGGTGGGGAGGTCCAAGGGACAAGGAAGACAAAACAGTGTCAAATCAATCCCAGGGCAGTCGGGGAGGGCTCAGGAGGGGATGGATGGTGGCAATGTCTCGGGTGTGGGACACAGGGGACTGTGCAATCCTGGACGGGTGCATAGGTGAATTTCCGGGTGGGAAGGAGAATGGAAAAAGATCAGGAAGGTCAGGGTTACCAGTCCTGGGAAGGAAAATGGCTCTGAACCAGACAGACACAGGTTCTCCTCAGTGATTGTGTGTGTGTGTGTGTGTGTGTGTGTGTGCAGGGAGATAAAAAGGTCCTGTGACTTAGCAGCTGAACAGCTGCAGCTGGGGACACCCTGGGGTTTCCTTGGCCCCATTGGCTCTGGGCACATCCAAAGCAGCCTGTGTCCTGCTGTCAGTGCTTGAGAGTCACATAGTCCACATCTTCTGGTGCCCGAGGCCGCTCCCCAGTCCCAAAATGAACGAGCTCCGAGTAATGAATCCCGTCATCTTCTGGAAGATTTGGAGCCACATTCTCGTAGTCACCCTGGGAAAGCTACACGGGGGTAAGCCTGGCCTTGCAATGGGGGCCAGCCTCCCTCCACCTCCCCCACTTTTCCCTTGTTCCACTCGGGGAGGGAGGTCTAAAAGCCCACACAAGAGTCCCCTTGTCTAGAAACTAGCTGTCTTGGCCTTTGGTCACAGAGGTCCCTACCCTGGCTCCAACCACAGCTCCACCCATGTGTCCCCCAGATTGCATGGGAAATTCAATCCCCAGATTCGTATGCTAATGTGTGTGGAGGTGTGACCTTTGAGAGGTGATTGGATTAATGGGTTGATGGGTGACTGAGAGAGTGGCTTTGTCATAAAATTGAGTTCTCTCTGGCATGCACCCCCCTTGCTGAGCAATGCCTCGTGCCACCTCAGAACTCTGCAGAGAATCCCCATCAGCAAGATGGCGCTCACCAGATGTAGTCCCTTGACCTTGGATCTCCAGAACCATGAACCAAAATAAATCCTTTTCCTTTATATATTACCCTGTCTCGGGTATTGAGTGATAGTAACAGAAAACAGACTAAGGCCACAAACCTCCCCCAGCCAACATCTAGCTTTAGCCACACTGACATCTACCCAAGTCCTTCCCCTGTGGGGCTCCCAGCTGAGACCAGGACCCAGGCCCCCCAACCTTCTCAGCCTTGGCCTCTTACCACATGACACTTCTGCACCACTGAGTAAGTGACCGTGTCTTCATTATTTGGGAGAGATCCTTGTGTTTCTGAGGGGCCTGTACCTCTGAGAGGGAGAACAGATGGAGAGCCATCAGTGAAGTGCTTCCTGTGAACTCTCTTCCTTCTCCTGACTCCCTTAGTGCCCCCAGCAGCACCCCAACCTCAGCCCTTTATGGAAAAACACAACTCGCTGTCTTCCACGAGCCCCATGCACACAGTAGGGGCTAATAAAAAACGTGTGCCGGATGAATGA